TAAAGGTGAGTTCTTTATTTTCAGCTCCTTCAAACTTTCTGTGTCACCTTACTCAACCTGAAACATCCCTATATCTCAGTTTTCTTAGTTGTAAAATGGAAAACATGATTTTAAACCACACAATCCTACAGTGCACTGGAAATACAAATTCACTAGTATCTGTGAAGTATTTGGAAGATATTATTGAGTTGAAGGTATTATTTCAGAAAGAAGCAACATTATTTCAAAATTTTAATATAAATCTGCCTTTACTAATTCTGTCCTTTGTATTTATTACACTTTTCCTCTACTGTAGATAGAAGATCTATTGTACTAAATCCATTTAAATGATTGTTCCCTGTATATCAATCCTAACCCAGCAATGAATTATTACATCTTACAAAATAATGTTAAATGCAGAATCCCAACAATCAGGATAGCTTTACTTCAAACTTGAACTTACTTTGCAGTCATTACAGTGACATTACACAAGCTATCTTGTGTTTTAAGAAAAAAAAAAGGGAAAAAAAAAAAGAGTCCTCAGACCATGGGACCGAAGAATCAAGAAAGGCTTTCAAAATCAAGTCTGAGTTCAGCATCTCTGTGAAAGAACTTCTTCTGCCTGCGAACAATTTTTCCAATCCCCTGAGACCTTAAAAGATCTCTTCCTTCCATCAAAGCCCACTGCGGTGCTCCCCATACGGGCCACAACTCAGAGGCAGACACTGGCTGGAGCTTTCCCCAGAACCCTAGAGGTACTTGCCCACTGCCTCCCAAAATGACAGACCTCTTCCATCTCGGGGTGCACTGCAGGTTCAGCACCATGGGGAGAGTGTGCATCAGCATCACGGCGATGCCTGTCCCAGCTCATCTTCTGTGTGGGCAGGGTGCTTCCCACACCTCCCTAACTGCCTGCCACAGGAAAGGTGGTTTTGACCCTTGGTCCTGGCTAGGGGCAGGGTGCAGTGCTCTGAACATCATGGCAAGAGGTCTTATGGACCTCTTTTAGCCACGGTGGCTAAAAACACCATATGTCACTGGCCGGCGCAATAAACAGTCACAGCCTTGGGGCTGGCAGTCTGGAATACGCCTGCAGCTAGTACCTAAAGCTTCTCTGCTGCCTAGAGAATTGCAAATCCTAAAGACGTGACATTTTAACTGGTGTATTTTAATGAACTTAGCTATGATTCCTTTCAATCTCCAAAGTTCTTCCCTGTAAATCATTTCAGGGGTGAATGAAGAGCCCAAGCCCTTCGATGGGACGCGTCCTATTGATTTTGGTTCCAAAGAACTCAGGATTGGTCTGTATGATTTAATTTCTATTTTAAAGGTTTAGGTAATCTTAAGAACAACCTCAGCTATTTTAAACCACGTTAATTTGATCATACTAACCTACAGTTTGCAGGCTCAGAATTCAACATCCACAGTCAATGATGACTCAGACTACTCATTCCTTTCTGCATTTTTTTTCTCCTTTTTTTTTTTTTTTGAAAATAAGCCATCTCACAACCTTCTGTATTACTATTTTGGCAGTTGTGATTTATACAACCAGATATCAAAGACTTTCAAAGCTGGATGACCAACTGGAGGGTTCGATGACTGAATCTATTCCAGTGGAGAATCTAAATTGGTTAGACTCATTGTTTATATCAGGATTTTCCCCTCTTAGGTCACAAACAGTCTGCTAGGGAACTGCGAATGAAGGTACAATGCTGGCCTTGAGACAGAACCACCCACATGAAGTAAATTTAAATCAGTGCTTCCTCCAGGAAACAAAGTGTTATATTACTTACAATCAGATCTGATTATGGTTTAGGGAACTCTTTAAACCCATCTAGCAGATAAAAGGAAAACAGATTCAAACTGCTCTGCTCATAGTTTAACGATCACTGGTTGATTGATGCAAAGATCAACATGCTTGATGGTTCCTAGTAAAAGTTTAGTGAAAACACAGGTCATACTAAAGATGGAAACATCCAATCTCACCATTTCATCAAAATATCTTCAGATTTTAGATTTTAAATTGAGGCTAAAAATAGCTTTATTCTAACATTTTTGAAATAAAATCAAGTTCATGAAAGCTATACAATGAATAAGATCTCAACACTGTGTTGGCCTCTCTCTTTGAGACCATAAAAACACCCATTAATCTCATCACCAAGAACACATCAAAACCACATTCACAGCATCACAGCATACAAGACATCTTTATGCATGTTTATGTACTATAGCATCCAGTAAACATGCAGATCCACACAGCAGCATGCAAACAGCCTAGCAAAGAGAGGGCTAAGACAAAGAATATCCTCAAAGCAATTCCAATAATTCCTCTAGATCACGGTGTTTGTGAGAAGTATTCTAGCTCGAAAGCAGGTCTCGTATCAGTTCAGAAGTTGTTGTTGATCTGACACAAGCCAAAGGAACTGGCAAACTGCAAGGAGAAAGTTGCTAGATAAAAAAAACCAAAACAAAATAAAACAAACAAACACACGGAGCAGAAGGTTCATGTTAAGAATCAGCTGGATCTCCTGTATTTTCTAGAAACAATTATTTTACCTTTAATTTCAAGGGGGCTTTGGGGGAAAAGACTGAAGGAAATATAGTTCATTTTAGCAAAGCACATATTGCAAAAAATAAATTTAAGAATCTATTTTTGGGCTTGAATGGTTGAAGAAATCCCTGATTAGCCTCTTAATGGGTTGAGTCCAATTTATTGAGAATGATCACCAGAGGGAGTCATTGACTTTCCTGTTAAAGTCAAAGGGAATTTTACATACTTCAGGAATGCAGAATTTGGGGGCAGAGCTGAGAAAGACTTCAAACAGACTGGAGTTCAGGGACTAACACAAGCCACTGTTCTATGGATTTAATCTGAATCCATTTTCCCTTTTGGAGTCCCAAAGGATGACTGATATATTCCATGGTTAAGGTTAGACAGAAGGCACTGAAGTCTGTAATTCAGCAGGTACACAGTCTCATGAAAAAACAAAAACAAAAAACCCCAAAACAAAATGCAAAAAAAAAAAAAATCAACCCAAAACCCAAAACCAAAACAAATCCCAGCACTTGATTGGTTTTACAGCAGTTTGGAGTGGTGCAAATAATAACTTCTCAATTTTCTCTTTGGACATGCAACATATCACAGTCCTTCTGAAAATGCAGTATTTAACAGCACAGAGAAATCTCCAGGTATCATATATGAGAGTATGTCATACCTCTTGGTAATATCAGGACCTCAAACAGTAAAAGAAAAGAGTAAAATGGAGACAGAAAGAATTGTTAGCATGGGGTCTTTGTGTTGTTGTGGTTTGTTTGATTTTTTTGTCTTCAATATTAGTGACTAAAAGAGGAAGTGAGAATAGGGAATTGTGAATGAAGTAATAAAATGAACTAAGTAGATGAACCAGTCTACTCAGCCATGAGCAAGCATGCATTTTATGCTCAAACACCTAAATTTCATAACCTTCAAAGAAATATTTTCATGTTAAGAACTCGGCTTTTCTTTGCTGGACTTCAGCTCAACCTTGTTCTTGCCATAGAAGCCCAGCAGTCTTTGGTTTGGAAACAAGCTCATTCACTCGGCAACTTTCTCCTTAATTCTGTACAATAAAATTATATAGCAGAAAATTAGGAGATTAAAAAAAGACAAGGCAACAGGTCCACCCAAACAAATGCAATTTCACCTCTCTAGAAACGTTCTCTGAACAAATGGAATTCAATTTGTTTCTGTGTTCCCAGGTAGTGGCAGCACCTTGTTTTCTTTGTTTATTTAATTACTTCTGGTTCATGCAATTAGCTGACAGACTGCAGTCTTTTGTTCATTATAACACAATTATTTGCATAGCTGTTTCCATTTTGAGCTTGAATTTTGGACAGAAACTCTATTTTGGACTGTGGCAGGCAGAGCCACTGCTGGGAGGCCTCATGCAGGGTAGCATGCAGTAACCTGCTCCTTCATGGAGTGAGTCACTCCAGGAGCTGCCCTGGCTGCCCATCTGCTTCTGACAGCAAATCAAAGCCCTATTCCCAACATGCAAATTAAGACCTGGCTGTCTTTCATCGTAGGTACCACCAAAAACCAGCTGAGTTCATTCTAAAGCATTTTCACCAACAGGCTGCCCATGCATAATTTTCTGCCCCTTAGATTGGATATTAGGAAAAACTTCCTCACTGAAATGGTGGCAGGCATTGGAATGAGCTGTGCAGGGGAGTGGTGGAATCATCATCCCTGGAGGTGTTAAAAAAACATGTAGGTGTGATCCTTGGGGACACGGTTTAATGGTGAACATGGCAGTGCTAAGTTAATGGTTGGAGCTGATGACCTTAAGGGTCTTTTTCATCCTAAATGGTTCCATGATTCTAAGGTATCACTCTGGTCAATATATAATTTAATTTAAAATTATCAGTACTCTTTCAGAGATTGGATGAAAAAAATTTAGAGGTGGAGACTATTTCAGGCTTTGTTTCATGAACAGTTTAACATCCAGTTCAGTCTAGTGCTGTTGTGATTCTCAAATGAGTTTTTGCACCATTAAATCTTTTTTTAAACACTCAAGATATATATCCAGATCACAGAGTTTTGCAGAATGCTGACCCTCTCCATTGGTAAATGCAGCAATCACCACCCTCCAAGTCCTCTAAGTTTCTGGCAGGGAACTGACATCACCTTATTTTTATCTAGGTTGCTCAGAAGTTGAGGAATCTGCACCTTCTTACATGAACAAAAGGCAGAGTCAATGCAGGGGGAAGACTGTATGCTCTGCTGTGCAGAAGCCACCTTCATCTCAGCCTGCAGGCACCTAAACCCCCCCAAAGCTCAACCTCTCCGGAGAAATTATACACCAACATGCCAACTTACACTATTTTAAGTACAGAGAGCTGGAACAGACAGTTTGAAAAAATTGTCAACCTTTGTCACTTACAATTCAAACTTCATATACGACCCACTGCTCTGGTCAGGGTTAGTTCTGTAACCAAATGCAGCAAGGTGCAACCTTTTAACAGCATTGTTTTAGTCCTACCTGTGCCATCTGCCTCTCCAGCTTTGACCGGGGAATATCATCAAAATAGTTTTCATTTCTTCTTCTCCTTGCATCGCCCTGCATGATAATGTGGGGAACGTCCAGGGAGCCACCAGTAGTGAAAGTGCTTTGGCTAAGTGATGGAGACAACTGAGGAGGAGTGTGGTTACCGCTGGGTTCCTGGACAGAGAAATAAAATGCAGTATAAGAACAGCATATTACTGACTTCAAACCACACATTTAAAAGTGTATTTGAATGGTTCACACGAAAAAAATAAGGAACAATTCCTGCAGTAGAGGTTACTGTGGATGAACTTTTGAGATTTGCTACCTAACATGCTGAGCCCATGTGGAAGGAAAAATAATTCACTATTTACACAAACTAGTGGCAAACTTCCTCTCCAGAATCTCCTTGTGTTATATATACTCCCTTCTAGGACTGCTGGAGAGATAAAACAGTGAGTTACTTCTTGTCAAGGCCCAAATAAAGCCATGATTTAGGACTAGTTATCTGTAAGATGAAATACATTCTCACTACTGAGCAGCTGCTCTGAGTAGTGAAAGTGATTTGAAAGTGATTTGAACTCTAGCAACACCTCTTGCTGGAAAAAAAGAAATGCACGTCCATTTACACAGTATAGACACTTTGTTGCAATTTTTATAGGTTTTGTAGAACATCCATTTTAACTTGAAGTACCAGATATCAGACACAAGCTAAGTAACAATTCCTAGAACACATGAAAGCATCAGAGCACAAATATTTTACTGGCCTTTTCTTGTTATCTGTGATGAACCTTGTATCAGTCAGTGTACAAATACCATACTCAATTGATACATAAACTCTATCCAATAAATAGGTAAAGGGGTCCTCCTGATCATCCATTTTACCAGAATCTGCTACCACACCGCTCATTTGTAGCCACCATTCGTATGTTTGCAAACACTTATTCTCATGCACATCACATCACTTGTTCAAACACCAACTACAAACATCAGTGCCCAGCTCTACTGTTCAACACTCCTGGAGGTCCATCAGAAGGAGCAGAGACCTACAGCCTACTGGCCAGACAGTCTGCATCTGTACCATCCCAGTGTGGGCAGTAAAACAATGCCATAGCAACCGAATGGGAAAACGTTCCCCTCTCATGATGTAGGTTACTGGGCTCAATTTATCTGACACAAGAGATTTCTCTGATAGTAAGCTCTTTGGAGGCAGAATGTACCCAGGAGCATGTTTGCACAGTGCAGACTTTCTCTGAATCACCTGTTGCTGTAATACTCTATTTCAATACTTAGCAACAAGAAGGAACCTGAAAATATTAGAGGAAGCAAAAACCTGCACCAGTGTGCATGGAGGGTAAAAAGTTCTGCCTTTTTATTTAAAGAGAGAATTAAATTGGATGATTCATGCATGATTAGGTTGAAGCAAGCCCAGTTCTGAAAAGCATCAAGATACTTTAATCCATGCTGTTAAGAAATAAGAGCTGGTGTAAGAAATCAGAGAGTAATAATCTCTTCCAAATGGAAAGGAAAGGGATTCAAGGCATAGTAACACCTGATGTTAACATTTGAAGTGTAGGAGTCTATATGACATTATTCCTTGCAATCACAGTAATGGATGAGTATTTTTTGTTTCGGCTCTAGTCAACCAACAAGAAAAAATGTAGGGAAATATAGTTAAGCAATTTTTAATTACCTTGGATTTTTTTTTTAAAATTCTCTAGTGTTCCTATGATTTGAGACAAGCACTTGACATTTCCCAGGGCAAAGAAAAGAGTGTTTTCCTCTTAGGAATAGTCTTTTCCCTCCTTCACAAAAATCCACCTACAGTCGGCCCAGTTACAAGCTTCTGAAAAGCTGTAGTCTGCACATGCTCAGGTTTGGTGGGGCATAGTCTCTGAAACCTACCCTCTCTGGGCCTGACAAGATGGTGTACACACCTCTGTCCTGAAAATAACCTGAGTACAGGGGTATCAAACAAGATCGTCTTTACTGACCGCTACCTGCTGCTTTAGATAGGTAGGTAACCCCTCTCTGCTCTGAATCACGATTCACACACTGTCATTAGACTGATAGGGCTGTCAGTGCATCAAAGAGACAGATGATCGTGCAATGAACGTGTAGATTCCAGGTCTCATTGAGCCTTTCATATTTTATCAAATTGCATGTAAAGAGGAAGTTCACTCTGAGATCTATATTGGAAGATTGCTGGGAAGGCAATGCAGACAAGAAATACCAAGTCAAGAAATACAAGAATTATCATGCCTTTGCATTCTGGAACAGTATGTAATTATATGATTTTATACTATTTTCTCACAGTCGTCCTTCACAGCACAGATGGATCCTCAACTGTGCAGCATATTGTCATATACTCAGCACCGTGTTATCATTAGTTATTGTGTAGTCAGTATCTTATTCTCACCTCGTTTCATGGCCCCAAACCCCTTTCCTAAACTCTATTCACATCCTGCTCTAAAGATAGGATGATTAATACTGTCATATTCATGATGCTCATAACTGCTTTACAAATATCAATCAATTAATTTTCACCATGCCCTGTGACTTCTGGCATTTTATAATCACCACTTTAGTGTGGGTGACGTGAGACACACAAAGTTTAAAAAGTACCAATCACCCTGGATGACCAATTAGAATGTTTATTCCTGATTTTCCTAGTGCTCGTATTCCAAAATCCGCTGCTTTGTTGATGTAATTTGTAGCACTGTGTGCTCAGCACTAGCATAAACCAGACTCCAGTCAAATATGCAGAATGTTGGTAACATACAATTAGCAACTGTTTATGAGGCAATTAACTAAATAACTTAACAAGCATTATCCAAGGCTTTTGTGGCAAAAGCAGGTTTAAATCTGTATTTTCATAGGTACAGCTATTCCTTTAATCATGAGCCTCTCTCCCATTCTTCCTTCATTCCTCATCCTCACTCCATACCCACCTTCTCATCTCCTTAACAAACCTGCAGACCAAGCATGGACACCCCTGCAGGTGCTACCACGGCCTCAGTACCATGATACTGTCAGTCACCAGATATTCATACCATGTTTCTACTTGGCTGTGAATGCAAGGATATATGACCTGAAGGGATGTCTGACCATATATTTCACTTTCAAAATCTGTTTCATCCCCACCTGTCAGTCCTGCCAGTCATATAAACCTGGAAACACAAAGGTTAGGGCTGGAAGGGTGCTTAAGAGATCCTTCCTCAAGCTGCCTGGGAATACCTCATGTCCCACAGATGTTTGTCTAACCAGTTCCCAAAAACTGGAATTCTCTCTAGTGAATTAATTCTTGTGTTATACTATCATTACTATTGTAACACTTTTCCAAATTTTCTGCCTAAATTGATGGTCCTTCAGTTTAAATTCCAGCCTCCAGTGCTGACTGGGTGCAGACAGGCTTCCATGAATAATATGGAAACTGCTTCTGTAATTAAAGATTATCATGCACTCAAAGAAGGACAACAAGATTACACAGGTAAACTGAGATCCAGCAATTACTATACTTCTGAATATATAACTCTGAATCAAAATAACTTTTCCTTAGTACACAATTATTGTGGGAATAACAGATTTTGTAGATATTTTTAATGCTTTTTTGCTTTTCCTCAATATTTAACCTTTTCCTTTGAAATATTTTAAAGGCTAATACAAAAAAAAAGTCAAAAAAGATGAAGCATTAGCATTGCTTAAGTTGAGCTTGGGACCTTAAAAGTAGACTCTTTAACAAACTACCTTTCCTACTGATCTAGAGCAGCCTGATCTAGTGGAAAGTGTCCCTGCCCATGGTAAAGAGGGTTGAAACCCCATGATCTTTAAGATCCCTTCCAATCCAAACCATTCTATGATTCTAAATAAATCAATCTTCTAGCAGCAGCAGACAGTTTATTTAAATCAGTTTTCAAGCTACAAATTATTGCACAGTACAAACTAAATGCTATGTCTTTCTTTTGTGTAAAATGGCATAGAAGCAGTTGATGGAAAAAAACCTTTATTCCAAATACATGTCCTCCTCTTTAGGATTCTCTGTGAAGTCTCTAGTACCAAGAGGTGATAAATGACATTTAGCACTGGCCCGCATCAGTAGCTTTAGATGTGGTACAGCAGATACTTTTTATCACTTTGACCACAGATGGAGGACATCCAGTTTTCTCTTCAGAATTAACTGAGAATATATAGTCCTGACCAAGAATGTGGGTCGTGGAAACTTTCCCACCCGCTGAAGAGGAATAGATTCTCCAGTTCAGAGTACTGAAGGCATTGAGAAAAAAGGGTGCCTTTCGATATATTTCTCTTTCCTTGGAGTGTTTTAACACCTGTCATGTATCAGGAATCATTCATATAATACAGAAAAAATAAAGTACAAGAAAAACATTTAACTGTATGTGCAATGTGCCTTAAAGCACATTATAGACTTGTCAGACCTTTTTCAATATGACATTAGGAATAGGTTGAATTAAGGAGCGGGATCTAAAATGCCTGTATGGGGCATCTGAGAATAAGCAGGGTGAAAATCGGCTGGTCACAGAAATTTTAAATGCACTTGAAAATAAGCCCTCATTCTGTCTTTCTGTATTTTTCTTTACACCAGAAAATTTAACTTGGGAGCACTGACACTTGCTGACATTTTTAAATTTAATCCTAAATGAGATTTCAGTCAGAAATGCTGCCTCATAAAAATAATCAGATCCAATCAAATGCAAAAGGTGTGACCTAAAATATCAAAATAAAAAGTGTTGCTATGAACTCCCTTGGAGAGAACGCAGTAGGAACTGGTCATCAGACCACAACTTGATAAGAGTAGCAGACAGCAAGTAAGCAAAGGCACTGGATTGGAGAAACTGAGTGAAGGTGGTGTAATGAGAGGAGATTAAATGTGGTCAAGTGTGGAAAAACCCCAGGGATATCGCAACAACATTTCTGAAAGAGGGAATACAAATGAAAATTAAAAACATGATGAAACTTTTGATATACAGAAACATCTTAATGGCATTTATATCAACAATTTTAGAGGTTCTCCTTAAAGACAGCCAAAAGCATATGTCTGAAAAGTAAGTGGAAGCCTTCAGAAACATAAAAGGAAAATGGTAACTCTCCTTCAGCAGTATCGATCAGCTGGGTTGTGCAGGGATTCCTGTGGGTAAATGTAGATGTGCAGCTTGTACACACCTGGTTCTGAGCTAGTTTCCTGAGCAAAGATAAGCTGGTACTTCTAAGATACTATTTATCCTAAGGCAGACATTTGAAACAGGTCAGATGAATCACCCTGTAAAAATGTCAGTTTATCTCTTCTGGCTATATGGGGAGATGTGACTGAGCAAGTCAGCCTAAGATGTCCATACTGTACACCTCTGAAGTGAGGTAAATTGAACCCCACTAAAAGCAGCCATTGTTTTCATGTGAATGTTATGAAATGCTTACTGACTTGTTGAGAAATGCAAACAAATTTTCATGGGGACCTACCCTGAGGGTTATTGACCGAGGTGGTTTCTGAGGAGGATCTTCGTGAAGCCTGTCTCCCAAAGATGCCAAAACGCGCTTCCGGTGGCCAATCAAGCTAATTTTTAAGACCTGAAATAATATCAAAAATATCTCATTAAAAAAACACATGGCAATCTTTAAATAAAGATCCATTCAGAGTGAAGCCATTTTCTCTTTAAACTTTTTAACAAGTTAATCCTCTAGACAGGCTGAGCAGACAGAGAGTGTGAGGCAAACAATCAGCAGAGAAAATGAGAGGTGAGATCAAACAGAGAAAAAAACTCCGTAAAATGAAGGAAGAAACTAGAGCAGGTAGAGATGTGGAAGACTGAAAAAAATAGACTGAAAAATGAGTAAAGAGGAAACAAAAATGAAATGAAGAGAAGGTAGCAGAGTAGGAAGAAAAATAGAAAAGGGGACGAGGAGACTGGAGAAGGAAATGTAGAAGTGCAGGCAAACAGTGAGTGATGAGGATTACAGTGATTCATCGGATGGATGAGGAAGAGAGAAAGGAATGCTTAGAGGGGGATAGAAGGGAAAAAAGAAATCATACAATGGATAAATGTTATCACTTCTAAATCTATTCATTATGCCTTTCACAGGTTATCTCCAAACATCACATGCAGTTTGCATTATGGTGGAGAATCATCCTTGTGTAAGAAACACGGGATGGACAAACTTTGTCCTGAAGTTCTATTACTTTTATCAGATGCAATGAAAAAAACGTTGCACACAAACGTGTCCACCAGTGGATATGTTCAAATATCTCGTGCTTGTCCAAACTCCAAGAATGCTGCCAAAAAAGTTGTTCCAAATTTTCTGCAACTATTCCCCATCGTATTTCTCTGTGTCCCTGCCACATACAAAACCATCATCGCTCTCAGGAAAACAGGGAAAAGAGAAGTAGTGAGTTGGAAACTTTACACATTAGTGGGGAAAAAAAATATCGTATTTCAATGCTATTCTTTAATGGCTACAATGGCTGTAGTGTAAAGAGTGTAAAGCAGCCCTAATTGTAGCAGCAAGCCTCTGCTCTGCAAACAGAAGTGTCCTTACGTAACTTCCAGACTGTATATATGGTTTTATACACCAGAGCTGCCTCCATTCCCTCTCAGAAAACAGTACTTCCCACTATATTTAGGACCACTGTGTGTCAACACTCTTCAGTTGAGAGGAAGTTCTCGCTCAACCTAGAAAAAGTAATAGTCCCAAAAAAACCCCTGAAAATGCTGTATCTTAAGTGAACAACTACTTCAGCTTAAGCAGCAGCATTAAGCGCTACCATTCACAAGAACAAACAAAACCCAAATCCCAGCACCTCGCCTACTACATCTCTTAGATCCAGTATCTCACAACACACTGTCATTTTATTCTAGCATCCATCCCTATGCATCCATTATCCTGTCAATCCATGGGCACATGAATTTGTCCACATTTCCTCTTTTAGAGGTCTTTGTGCTGTTTGATACTGCTAAATATCAGTAACATCTTGTTTACCCACATCTACAAAGTGATGGGCTATGACGTGAAGAAGATGGAGGCCTTCCTCCGAGAGGCAGCTTACAGGGGTGTTGCAGACCCTGCAGCTCAGCAGCAGACCCAAGCTGCAGAGTCCCACAAACTCCCCTGTTATGTGATACTCTTTCAGTCTAAATCTAGAGAAGTACGAGCGAAGCTGAGATAACGCAGCACACACAGAAATGCCTGAGGCATGCAGGAGACTTAGTTATGTATTCAGTTTACATTGAGTGTTAAACAAAAGGGTGCACAGTTTATCTCCATATTTAACCATATGAAACACGTGCAGGAACTACAGCTGCTTTAAGCATTACTCAAGTAATGCACTTCAGTGAACTTGCTTCTCTCATAATGCTTCCCCATCAACAACATCATTTATCCAGAGATTTTTAAGCCAAGCTACAGTTCTTGGGTTGTTTCAAGGTCCTCAGCACTCTGACTGTCTTATTAGCTATATCAAACCACACAAAGCAATTCTCTTTGACTTCACAGAGCTGTTGAAGAACAGGAGAGAAAAGGACATGAGTCATAAGAGATCAGTAGACAGGTCTAAATGGCTAAATTATTTCAAAAACTGTGCTCAATTTGAAAGTAAAACAGATCTTTAAACACCATATGCACTGCTAAGTTTACTCCACCTTTTGTTTTTCCAGTATAATGGTGGTCACCCCAAATCTGAAGTGAGAGGGATTTAATGATGCAACCTACAGAAACATATGGTCCTCAGTCAACAGGCAGCTGCATCGTAGTCTCGTCTGGAGCACACAGTCCACTAACTGAAGACAGTTGTATTCTTCTGGAAATGACTCCCTAGCAATTTTCTTACTTGAAAAACCTGTTACTTAACTTACAAATGTAAAATACTGTTTTGTGAAACACTTCTATATTTGAGTTATAAGAGTTTTAACAAACATCTTAAAACTCTGGAAATTTGTTCTGTGATGGATTATCTTTGACAGTATTTATCAAAAATGTCCAATATCACAAATTTAGGTCAACAGTGTGGAATGGTACAGCTGCCTAAAGCAATACCTTAGAAATATGCTAATGCTCTGTTTTAGGTAACCATTAAAAGTCATGTACTTACATAGCCCACAAGTTAGCTTCCCATGAATAATTTGTATATACCAGGTAACACTGAACGCAGTAACACTGAATAGGGACAGTCAATACAATGCACCTAAGAGCTATGCAGTGAAGCATTTTGTCAAATGGACTGTAGGCTACTTAGTATACAACAAATAAATGAGTTTTGCAGTGTTGCTGTAGGAATCAGCAACATGGCATGAAACTGTTCAGAGTACCTTAAGGCCATCCACGGCCTGTTATTTCCTTACTGGGACAAAAGAAAAAAAAAAACATGTACATGACATACTTCTTTCCACACTGACAGCAGGATACCTGAGACAAAAATGATACAACTTAATCTCCTATATTTGATTATATTTGATGCTGTAACACAATTAAAGGAGAACAGGGCAAGTCATTTGTCCAGAGAACTGATAAATGCACACAAATTTAATCTTATTTTTACCTCCATACTCTGCAATGATTAGCATACAAAATGAAATTCCACTAGGAAATGTAAGAAATCCACAAATACAACCAATGTAACACTTTGCATTTAGATTTCTGGCTTAGTTGACAGATGTTTCAAAAAATACATGTAGCCCAATAACTCCCTGATGACTGTGTATGTGCAGATGCTGGAATTAACAAGTTATTCCATCTAAAAATAAGTATTATTTCTGCAACATTCTTCTGCCTGATCTTTTCTTCTAATTAAATAATAATATCCAATATCGAATACTGTATTTTTATAATTATTCTACCTTTCTTTAAAAGTATTATAAAGATTAGAGAAATCCAGGACACCAATTCCTTTTCTTTTGGAAGAATCTGAAACATTACTGTATGGGTTAAAATTAGTACTATAATAGCATAAGCGGTCTGGACTACATGTGTAACAGCAATTGAACGCTAGGAACACATTATTAAGCACTATTGAACACACAGACACAAAGTGCAAAACTAGAGAGTGATAAGAACAGTACTAACGACTCTCTGGTAGCAGCATCAGACACTTTAAAATTTGAGAAAAAAATGGTAAATGCAAGCCATCAAAGTGGGATCTTCCTATTTCTACAAGTAAATGGCCCAAAACCCTAGCTAAATTAATTTTTCTTAACCATTTTACTGCTGGTCATATTGGAATAAACTCCAAGGTATCTGGAATTGCAAGTGGAGGATACATTTACTACCTCTTTCCTGCCACAGTGCTGACCCACAGGGCTAATCCTAAAACACGGTAGTGCCCAGAATACCCACCAAGTGAGCCCACACCAGCCAGTACAATTCACCTGATCATCATGACTGATTTAACCAAAAACTTGGAAAAGGACTAGACACACTTGCTGTATAAATTCTCAGCATCAACAACTGTTCCAAACTTTACAAATCCTACCCACAGAACTGCTAAAACACTAATGCAGCATTAACAGTTAAAACAAACACACAAACAAAGCCCATGAAACAATTGAAAAAGGCGAAAAACCCCTATATCCCACATACTGACCAAGATTACATGATGTAATGATCAGTATATTTTGAAAATTAAATATATCCCAGTCAGTTGTGATACTTACACTGAAAGAGGAAACATTTAGATTAGATATTAAGAAAAAATTCTTTACTGTGAGGGTGATGAGGCACTGGAACAGGTTGCTCAGAGAAGTTGTGGATGCCCCATCTCTGGAAGTCTCGAAGACTGGGTTGGATGGGGCTTCATGCAACCTGGCCTAGCAGACCGTGTCCCTTCCATGGCAGGGGAGTTGGAACTAGATAATCTTTAAGGTCCCTTCCAACACAAACCACTCTATGATTCTATGATATTGAATGCCCAGTGGCTTACCAATACCAGACACAGCCAAATCCAGTGAAACCATGTTAAATTTCTATTGCATTTTTCACATAGTGATACTTTATGCTCTTTCTCATCACATGGGAACAGAGAAGCTCCAAAACATCCTGAAGGTCAGAGGCTTGCTGCAACTTCTCTGGTGTCCACAACTTCAGGGGAAGCAATTGTTTATTATGCCTATGAAGAGACTTTTAAGAGACTTATGCATATAATAATTATTTCATATCATAAGGATAAGAAATATGCATAATACTACTCTGGAATTAATTACCCAACAGGAAACAATGCAGTTGTCTTGGTGACAGCATTTCACAAAAGCAGATGGCTGTCTCATAATTCCCAATTCTATACATTATCACGAGGAACTGATGTTTATTTGGTCACCCACCACTTAAATAAATAAATAAATAATTTGGATGTAGATTTCCATTTAAGGGTACTGAGAAAGCAAAGGTCAAGGGTCTTCTCCAAGTAAAGTGGTGTTACAATGTTGCTCAACCATTGCCACCCCAGGTCAGACTGAGGAAAGTAAGAATTCGTTATTTTTTGCAGAAGTTCTCAGGACAGAGTTTGGCACTACCAAGTCATTTTTGTCATTAAAGTGTTTTCCAAATTTTCATCAGTTTAACAACTGGTTGGGCTGACTGAAAAT